AATTATAATTTCACGTTACACTAGACATCAAGCGTCCGCCATGTTGTATTTCAGGGACTTGAAAGACCCCGGGGACTAGTGGCTTCAGTTGGTTAATGGTGTAAGCACTCTCCATGTGTATCGTTGAGGACGTTTAGGCTGAAAATCGTCTTTTTATCCCATCCCCCTTAAAAAAATCGAGGTCTCTGACATGAGAAAGCACAAGTGCTTTACTCATTTTTCAAAATGACTTAGTCTATGAAACTGAATGGAATCTAAGCATGTATGCTGATGACCATCAGCTTTTTGAAATTAGTGATAACATTGCTACGATCATGAATGACAACCTTAATGGAAACGCAAGAAAAGCATCTTCATGATATGACTCGAACTTACTCAAGGGGAACCTCTCCAAATACCATACCATGTTGATTAACAATAAACAAAGAGACAGGAGAGATGAGATAAAAGTAAATGTACAAGGAACTGACATTGATTCTACGAACAGTATTAAGTTACTAGGTGTCACTATTGACAACAAGCTTAATTTCAGTGTGCATATAAATATCACGTGCAAGAAAGCTAACCAGAGGATAGGTGTACTAATGAGACTCAAAAGTTAGTGCCCACCGTTGCTAAACTACACCTTTTTAAGGCTGCTATCCTCCCGTACCTCACCTACTGCCATCTCACCTGGCATTTTTGCCGAGCAAAAGGCAAGAGAAAACTTGAACGCACTTAGGAGAGGGGTTTGCGTGCTGTCTTCAGAGATAGTAAATCTACATATGAGCAATTACTTAAAAAGGCTAATTTAAAATGTCTATATGAAAGAAGGCTAGAGGATAGAGCTTGTTTGATGTTTAAAGTGAGGCATAATCTGTGCCCATCGACTGTTAAAACTTTGTTTTCATTGAAAAGTTCCACTTACAACCTCAGAAGCGCAGATTTCCACATTCCTAGATTTAATACTTTTACCTGTGGAAAACATTCCCTAAGATATATTGGCCCTTTGCTGTGGAATCGACTTTCAACTAACATAGAAACCTCACCTTCTCTACAATCTTTTAAAAAACAGATCTGCCTTAACTAACCTTTCTTCTAAATTAGAATACGATTGTAAGAACTGTGTTTCATGTAGCACATGAACAATTAGCTGGCTCAGGGAACGCTCTATGTGTTTATTTGATCTAATAATGAGTATTAAATAAGGTAGTTTAAACTTTTAGTTCTTAATGTTAATGACGTATTTAAATTTTATCCATTGTAAATAGTTAAATTAGTTGAATTTTAAGTTATTGTATTGAGTTTAGGCGTCTACTATTAGTAGAGGGTTTCTTACCCTCGGCTAGATCGCTTTGACACATACATAAAGTTTTTCATTCATTCATTCATTCATTCATTCATTCATTTATTCATTCATTTGCACTGACGCAAAAGATGCAGTTAGCTTGCACACAGGCTCTAATGGCACTGTACTGTGACACGATCAGTGAATCCCGCGCGTTGGGAGATCTACGTAACTCACGCGTGCTGTTCAAGCCAGGATGCTAGCAAGAGCCCCTTTGCGTGCGAGGGATGCATGTTTGGAGAGAAATGGCGAAATGTCGAATGCAAAATGTCTTGAAATCAAAATATTTGCTAAAACCACCTCATGGGTAATTGAGTGGACCCACGGTTCTTGGGTTCTCATCTCTTCTAACTCCAGTAAGGTAAAACTCAAAACCGTCTACAAACTGAATTGTAAGTTTACCAGCAGAAAGTTAATGGTAATTACTACAAGAAGATGAAATATTTCTATTATAAAGCTGAGCATGATTTCTTTTGTCTTTTGTACTCAGAACCCGATACGAGCACCCAAACTGGGAGGTTACTTAATTTTTATCAACTGTGTTGACTGTAAATTGGCCACTTTTGAGCGTTAGCACTTCGTCAGAGCGTTAGCTCTCAGTCGTCATTAGCTCTTCGTCCTTCGCTCTGGAGAAGGTTTAACGGTCGAAACGTCAGCTTCTAAAACTCTTTACGGTGGTCAATTTACATTAACAGCTCGGTTGATGGAGAGCGGATGGAAACTTCGGAATTGATGTCTCCATTCGCCTATGTTGTTCTCTTTATAGAACCGAATGAACTCAAGTGAATCCGTTAAAATGAGTCATTCGAAAGTTTACCCAAACATATTGTTGGAAAGAAACAGCTGTCTTGCCGGCGAGTTGTAAAAGAGTTTTAACAATGTTTGCTCTCTTCTCAATTTGCTCAGTGTTTCGTGTCCCTATTGTTTTGTATGAATCTTTTTGTTCTGGACAACTATCTTAAAATATATTGTGCATGTCAAAACAATTGCGATCACTATCTTTTCAATCTTGCTGTCCCTTTCAGGGCCCTTCTGGAAAGTTCTAATTCTAGTCGTTTGTAAAGTTAGCTTTCCCTTTGAGTCAAATGTGTTTGCAACCTCATTTATTTGCTAGTGTCCGTAACTGTCCAAGTTCTCTCTTTATCTCTCCGTTCTGTATTAAGTAGTGTCAATGTTGAATGAAGTACGCGAGTCAGCAACTTATTACCATCTTCATAATATACTATTTCCTGGTCATCTTTTTTCGTGTTTAATTTTTTCCCTCTTTTTTCATCTAAAAAAAAAATATGAAAAGTCAGCTCATGCTAGTTGTAATACGCAAAGAGCTTTAAGTGTTGAGGACTTAAAAATTTATCTAATCTTCGACAGATTAAAATACAAATCGAATACAAATGTGCTAGATAGTGACCTGTTGAGTTACACGGCGCCAGATAAAAAAAACAAACAAACAAACAAACAAAAGTGTGTGACTTGCCAGTTAGAAACTGTAGTAACAACTTCATTTCCCAAGATTTTAATCGTAACATTCAACAAAGAATGCAATCTGAGGGAGAAATGTAAATGTCAACAACAACAACAACAAAAAGCAAGCTTCCGAATGATGGATATCATTATAAATTTATCTTCACGTTCCAAATGTTAGTCTCCCTCGCAGCCGTTTTTTTTGGATGTCACGCAACGCTCCCCCATAAGAACGGCTGCTGACAACCGAACTACATTCCTTTCTCCGAATTGGCCAATCACAGCTCGGGTTCCATTTTCAGGAACCTTTTCGCGCCAGACTCACCTTTTGAGACTCGTCCAATCAGATATCGTTTTCTATCGCGATCCTCATGTGGAAAACACAAGACAAATGGCGGTGCTTGAAGGAGCTTTTCGCAAAGCGTCGTCAAAGTTCAAAATTTTCGAGCTTAATGCTCACCAGAAGCTTGCAATTAGAAAAGTTTTAGTCGAGAAAGAAGATGTTTTTGTTAAGTTGCCTACAGGATCCGGGAAATCGTTAATATATCAAGCACTCCCGCTCGTGTTTGACCATGTTACCGATGAAAGTGGTCATATTATTGTTATTGTTGTTGCGTTGTACCAACGTGCGGAAACACTCGATAATTCGGGCCGATTTCCTGTACCGGTGATAAGAAGCCACGAACATAACTAATCGGGTTC